GTGACTGGAATAAAGAAGAAAAAAGGTTGGAAACACTTCAAGATTTCTTGATGTTAATTGTCTTTTAACATATAAGGGGCCCAGGAGATCTCTTCGTTTCTTGATTGAAACGTAAAATCCAGACTTGTCAAGGTATTGCATGCTTGGGAATTTTCAGGAATGTTTTACCCTGGGCTGTCATAAGTGACAATGCACACACATACACTATCCGGAATGACATATAGTGCCCCCCAAGTTGCCCCCAACCCCCAAATCCCAAAAGAGACCTTAATCCCTATTTCTGCACACCTGTACATGAATGAAGTTGCTGAGCTATTAACTCCTGAAGTATGTTATCCAACATGTAAACATTGCATAACAAGTAATCCCTATATAATCTTTCCAGTCGTAAAGAGTTAAGAGTTAATCCCAATTCAAATTAGATAGTCCCTGAATGTTCAAAGGAACTTTTTTCTGTTCAAATATTGTGTAGATAAAACCGTCTGTGATGGCTGACAAGTAATGTTCAAAATACCTCATTCACCTTGAGATTGGTTTTAATTGCTTTCATTCTCAATGATATCGAAAGTATCTAAAATTTCAAGCATACATAAAACCGAAATATTTTATGGAACTCTATGGTCTTAATACATCAAGAAATAGTGGATCAATGAGAATTTTGTCATTACATGTAAACATAAAAAAAAATAACCATTCATTAAATTGAATGGTTCTAGATTAAGTTTAAAAGTTTTCATGTCATAAACAGATATGCAAGTCATTTACATCTTGAACAGATGGTAATGACAAAGCAGAAAGTGAACAGTTGCCAGGCAAGTAGTACCTAATAACACATACCCAATCCTAATAATTATACTTATTTCCCCATCAAAAGACAGACCATAGTATTATACATATATAGTCATTTACTACAATAGATAAAAGCTTAGTCATTCACCACATCGTCTGAACACTTAGGTTGTAGAAAAATGTGTATTTCTGGTTTGCCAGCTCACACAATGACGTACAGACATAGAAATAGAATAATCTTATTTAAAAATACATATGTACAAAATATATAATAAAAGCCAAAAGGAGTCGAGAAAAAATGTGTAATTTGAGGCAATCCAAATGATTCTATACTTGAGGTAGGTCGATTTTCATCCATTTCAAAAAAAATTCTTGCACTTGGAAGACTGGCTTTTACCTTCAACCTTCAACCTCAACCTTAAAATTGAAATATTTAGTCTTTCTTAAAAATTCCTTTTCAAAGCTTTGATTACCAGCCTGTAACTGTCATCATTGTATTCAATTTGCACAACAATTTTGCATGTTATTATGTATCAACTGGTCATTATTTTCACTTAAAAACAGACGTTCAAAGAAAAAACATACCCCTCCATCCCCACCTGGCCCCCAAAACAAACTAAAAAATTAAGAAACAACAAAACGAAAAACAAAAAGTTAAAAACACATATGCTCTGAAAAGGATATACATACTTTCTGTACTACCTTAGTTTTCATAAAAGTCAAATCTGAGATTTATAACCCGGACCTAGTTTCTAACACCGAAAAATCACAACAGCAGAAAATGGCAACACCCACAGGAGATGCATACAACGTTCATGTTGGTTTATGCTAATTTAAATTTGCGTCACTTTGTGTCATCACACGACCTGATCTGCTAATACCAAATTACCTCAAATAAATACATACCCAATGTCTAAAGGTAAAGAGATGCCTTTCAGCATCTGCTAACACTAACATAAATCAGGGCGGTGAGGTAGCCTAGTGGTTGAAGCGTCCGCTCGTCACGCCGAAGATCCGCATCCGATTCCCCACATGGGTACAATGTGTGAAGCCTATTTCTGGTGTTCCCCGCCGTGATATTTATGGAATATTGCTAAAAGTGGAGTAAAACTAAACTCACTCACTCAGTAACATAATTCTGGTTGGTTTCTAGTTTAGCTTAAAAATCAAAGAAAGATTTGAATCTGAATGCTTAAAAAATTACAATCTTGATATATGTTGCTTTACAAATTGACAATATTTCTTGGTGTTTATGACTGAATTGCAGCCCCAATCGGAACAAGGATAGAAAAGTAAAAATGACATCAGTATTTTAGGACATGACTGGTTAGAAGTTGTACGGTAACAAGCCACAGTTTCAATGAAATGTTATCTTAGATTTTAATCATCTTGTATGTTTCCAAATAATCAGACCAAATTCCAACTTCTATTTTAAATCCTGGTTGTAATCTTAATGAGCCATTACACCTCATTTCAGAAACAGAACACTTGTCAAATATGACAAATATGTGGTGCATGCTGGTCAATTCGGGTTTGATTCCCAGTACACAAATGTTAAAACATGCACGTATACATACCTTTTCTCTTCTCAACCTCAAAAGGAAACTGCATGTGTGGACAAAATTTACCAAGAATGTTTGGGACACTAACTCCTAAGGAAATATTGATATCACGTCTTAATAGGACTTTCAAAGTATTTACGTACGACTAATCTTATCTCATATCCCAATATTTGTGATCGGAATACTTTCAGTGGCTCAAGCCCAGCACATAATTGCTGTGTTTTATTTCTAGTCTGATATGTTCCTAACAACTGGTCATAACCATAGAAATGTTTTTATACTGCTCAAAAGAAATTCAGGACTACCCAATTCTTTTACATTCCTTCAGGTAATCATTTGAAACAATGTTGTGATCCTTCACCTAATTAGAGTTGATGTTACTGAACATAAACCAATGTAACACACATTTTTGTTTGTGATCGTTTAATGCCGCACTCAACAATATTCCAGCCATATGGCAGCAGTCTGGACCAAACAATCCAGTGGTCAACATCATGAACATCGATTTATGCATTGGGATACTGTTTCCATGGAGTTGATTGGCTGATCTGTGATCTTAAGATCCAGATAAACGATGTATTTGCATGAAACACCAGCGAACAACTTTAAAAACAAACACAATAGCAAACAGCATGAACATCGAACTACGCAATTAGGATACAATGAGTGAGTAAGTGAGTGAGTTTAGTTTTACATGGCACTCAGCAATATTCCAGCTGTATGGCGGCGGTCTGTAAATAATCGAACCTGGACCAGACAATCCAGTGATCAACAGCATGAGCATCAATCTGCGCAATTGGGAACCGATGACATGTGTCAACCGGGATACAATGACATGCGTCAACCAAGCCTGAACACCCACCACGCTTTCGTTATATTTTTATACAAACAAACATGTCGTGGTTGTTATTTGTTGTAGTAGTAACATAGACAATCATCTCTGGGATTGTCTTGTGATGGATCCGGGTTATGAATCATAACTGTCATATCTAGTTGGAGACAATGAAAACAGCAACAGATTCCTTGTACGACGACAAAGAAAAAGCCAATAAGATGGGACATATGTACTTCAACAAACAAGAACATGTCTAAGCACAACCCAGATGTCAAAAATAAATATTTCATATGAAGGACTCAAAATAATCGACAGATTACAGATGTAATTAAATATTTATTTTCACCATTTAATAATCTTTCTTACTGAGACATAAAATGAGTGAGTGAGTATGGCTTTATGCCGTTTTTAGAAATATTCCAGCAATATCACGGCGGGGGACACCAGGAATGTGCTTCACACATTGTACCCATGCCGGGTCTTCGGCGTGACAAGCAAACACTTTATCCACTAGGCTACCCCGATCACCCCTGAGACATAAAAACATCGAAAGCCTCGAATGGTTTCTTGTTGTTTCTTTTGTGAGGAAGAAGTTGAGATGTACAACAGCATTATCCAACCAATGCTTCATCTTCTCTTGAATGATCTGGTCTCACCTGTATTTTCACCTGTAAATACTTCACTGAACACCCACACAATGGGCTACTGTATATATACAATGTAGGTAACACTGAAGGCTTGTTTTCTGCTCCTATACCATAACTGCTGCTCAAAAACATATGCCCCCGTGTATCTAAATTAAACTAACGGGCACAACTAGGTAATTGTGCCTCAGTAAAATTAATCGATCGATTGTAACTCTATCTTGTGATCTTCACGACCAACACTCATGGACTACCGACAAGGTAGTTCTGACTTCTTTGAGAGGCATTTAGAAGTTGGATCAATAGGGAAGATGACAATATATGGATGAACAACTTCTTTATTACTGTGAGAATGATGTTTTGGTGTAGGTTGTAACAGTGTTACTTGCTTGATAACAGTGTAACAACCTACACCGAAATGTCGCTCCCACTGTAATAAAGAAGTTGTTCACCCATATATTGTCATCTTTCCTTAAGATAATTCTTGTTCAAATGTCAACTAAAACCTTTGACATATACATAAGAACATATTTAATTAAAAATAGATGAATGTGAAAGATATAAGATATAAGATAAGAAAGGATAAGAGGTTATTTTAATATCATAAACACATTCTCACTGCATATTTCACTGACATACTCTTGAAAACAGGACACTTAAAAATATACCAGTATACAGTCTCTCATGTAAGTGAAATATTCACTGAAATATTTAAATGAAAGAACCTTTGAAAGTTTAGATAAATACATTTTACTGTTATTACATTTTCAAATGTAATTGATATTTTAAGTACAATTAATGTTTAAATATAAACATTCACTCCAGCCTCAATGACAATGATAAAGCTAATGAAACTTGAAAAGTTTAATAAATATAATTAATTAATTCTATGGATTAATTAACCAAACAGTCTATTTTCAACTTTGAAATTCATTCTGAAGCACAAACATCTGAAATTAAATTATATTTTCTTAATTCAAACATGCTATGCCAGATTGTGATATTTGGATTAAGACCATCAACATCTGAAAGAGAACGAAACATTGTTTATTCAAATATGCTGACATGACATATTTTGATATTTCGACTAACGCCATCATCTGAAAAAAAAAAGAAAGAAGAAGTCACATATCCGAATGTTCAAAGTTAATAAATAAACATTCAGCTTACCTTGAGGAAGTGGCATCCTTGCATAATGAACAGTTACAGGTAATTCCGCCAATGAAGACACACTGTAATTCCATGCTCGTTCAGGGGAAGTAATTTGTGAAAACAAAGCACCACTAATAATCTGAGGTTGTATCCCGCCCCTCAAAGACGATATACTATGGCTCCTTGCACGCATACCCTCTTCTTCCAATTGTTGCATTGAGGAGGAACTGAGCTTAGCTGGAACACTCCTGCGTGTTCTTGGAGACATCACCGAAAGACTGCTACTCCGTTCACGATTGAAGTCCATGTCATCCGTCGTTGAGGAATAGGAAGTTGGGGCACCACTGTTTCCAGGAAACCCAAATTGAACTGGTACACTTGAACTTAAGGTTCCATTTTCGTGGATTTCTGGAAGTGGACTTAAATTACCTTTATGTCGGAAATTATGTGGTATGTTCAAACCTGAAGTCGGGCTCCCATAAATTCGACTTCTTTCATGAATTCCTGAGTGCTCATTTTCTCGTGACATGTTCTTGTCATTTGGAGAATTTTCATTGACTGGACTTGCAGTTTTTAACGCTCGGGCTACAAGAATTCTCTGTGCCTGTGCAATCTCCTCTTTACGTGGACTAGTAGAGATAGCACCATCAAATGAAACCTCTCTTTGAAAATGACGCAACCTAGCACTAGTCGCACCCATGGCAATACGACTTTTATTTCTGCTGCTAAGTTCCAGAATTGTTGCTGAGTAGGTCCTTGGCCGTATATCATACTCTTCATCAAACTCATCATGATCTTGATCCATTGACCGCTCCAACTCGGACAAAGCATCCGAGCTTACATAATGTGACTTATGTGAAGTTAGGCTGTGAACTGAAGGTGATTTGCCCTTCTTAATATTCGGACTTGACATTGTAATCAGCATGCTGTTTTGAGACATAGACAGATCCCTGTTCATACTAGCTAAGCCTCGCCGTTTACACAATTCAAGCAACTTATCATTGTAGAGGGAGTGCGAGATCTCCCTGAACCGAGCAGCAGACGTATCACCACTGTCACCAGAGTCGTGACTGACAAGTTTCCTGCACGCGGTACTGTACCCGGAATCTGTAGTGTGGGGGAGGTCTTTAGCTCCCCTATCATTATGCCCGCTTGTCACAATACCTGCATCGTCTGTTTTCATGTCACTCTCCAGCGAGTGCTTGGTATGCGATCCGGCCTCGGCTACCTGTGAAAGCTGCTGCAGAGGGCTTACCTTTCTCAACGATCCTACTGGTGCATTCTTGTCACCTGCAAGTTCTAACTGTTTTAATAGTTCACGCTGAGCTGACTGGGCAATTTCACGAGAATTCCTTGACTGTTTGAAAAGTTCCCTTCTAGCGGACGAAGGTATTTCACCTGAATTCCGTGACTGTTTAAAACTTTCCCGTTGGGAAGTTGGTGACATTTCAGTAGTCTTTCCACCACCTTTTTTGCTCTTACTCGTATCGGAGAGAGAAGAGCTTCTCTGTCTATGTGGGCTCTTAGAGCCTTTTCGGGCTCGTGACACAATCCCGTGGAAAGACCAACTCCGTCCCCTCGGCTCCGGAGAGTCGAGGTCCTTTTCCCCAGATGATCCAATTTTGTTCCCCATATTGTTCAACTGTACACAGATTTACAAATGAGCAGTCTGGCAATACCCTTGTTCAAATGTTAGGACAATTTTCACGCTGAGGTGGATTCTGACAAAGTAAAATGTAAACATGTTCCACACTGGCGTGACTGTCAGCTCTCCCTGTCAACATTCTATACCACTGCATCCTCAACATCCCTTCTATAATCCCATAATCCTGTGAAAACCACCTGTGCAAAATATTTATCAACGATTCAGCCCCTACTCAAAACAAAAGAAGTCTGGTAGGTGGATGGTGAATGTAGCGTACAGTGGCAACAAAAGGCATGGGAATCACATTGAGGGAAGCAAGGTTTCAACAAAATGGAAATGAAAACATCTGTCAATTCCCACCTGCATATTATTCCCTGAACAAAAAGTCTCAAGTTTGAAGTTCACCACAACAATCCACAACCGTTACAGAAACAAATACTAACCTTGCTATTGTAACCTATTCCTTCGTTATGTCCACTTACATGAAGTTGATACTCTAAGTTCAGAAACATAAACACCACAAATGATATCCAGTGGACCTTTGACTGATAGCACGGTCAGAATGAACTGATTGTTACTACTCTCAGCTGGTCAATTTCCCACTGTGTAAGAAATACTGGGTAAATATCCAAGGTCCAGAATACGAGGAAGTGTATATCACAACTGTTGTAACCTCTCACAAGATAAGCTAACTTGAACCTGAAGCATCTCGGGAAGTGAATGTAAATCCAACTGACTCACTGGAACAACGGGCAAAAAATGCTTTTTCCTTTTTTACAAGTGGCACACCTTGACTAACTCAGAGAATATCAGAGGGAGGTATGAAAGCGATCTTGACAGGTAAACACTGTTGCCACGATGCCCCCCTGAGGGTCAAGCTGTCCATTAGGTGAGTCTATGTCTCAAGTATTACACTGGCATACTTTCAAACTGTGTGTCATTCAGACCACGCGGCAGACCAGACGCCAGGGAGCATAGACCACGTGTAGATAAACAACAACCTGATCGTAAGCTTCTCACACTGTACAAGTTCTTCAGTATTCATTCATTTTCTTATGGAGGCAGACTGGGGTATTGCTTGTAGCAGACGACACTTGGAGCAGACGACACTAGCTGTGGAGCAGACAACTTTATAGTCGATGTCAGTTCAGGTCATGCCAGTAATAATAGTTAAGGTCGCTGTTGATAATGTCTTCACTGGACCAACAATGTATATTGATTACTAGTAATGGTTTTATCAGAGGCTCGGGTCAGCTCAGCAGACGTCAGTCTTAGAAGGACGAACATTCAATATCTCCGTCAACTCATGTAAGTCCTGTTGACTTTAGTTTTAGTCACAGTTGGCTTGCATATCGATCAGATCCTCTATCATGACTTGAGTACATGAACTCGTCCCATCCTTGCATGGTGTAAGAAATGCTGCTGACAGCTGAAGCTGATATTACTTTATCAGGTTCACCTCAAATAACTTTAGTCAAACTACCCTCTCCAGGATAGCAGACGGAATTCAAACAGCAGCAGACGTCAGATTACACAGTGTTTTTTATAGCTGTGTCGAGACTAGCAACAGGTTCCATAGGAGGATTACATTGAGTAGATGAATAGGTGTTCCTGTCAGAAAAAATATAACCAATCTAAGTGAATTCAGACAAGAGTTGGTGAAAACCCAACAATACAGGCTGACATTCAAACTTTCCTCATGTAAATAGAAGCATTCTAGTCATTATTCATTGACACAAACCGTATAAAATGCTCCCAGGAAGGTGCTAGTCTGTTTGTTGAGTTTGGAACAAGGTTGACTAATTCAATGTAATTAAGGTCCTCTTTATCCCCAAATCCATTAAACAAACAGTAAATCAATGTATCTGTCGAAGCTGGCTGCTGTAATTTGCTGAGGTGGTAAGTAGCAGACGTCAGCTAGAGCAGACGCTAACTGGAGCACACGCAAAGGTAATTGACATCAGTAGTTACTGAAGTAGGATGTTGTCACAAGAACTTCACAGAAGCGGACAATCATCCGTCAGACGTCCAATGTATTAATGATAAACAATACAGATGTCCACAATTCGGAATAGTAACCAATCCTAGGTGTAGGCGACAGGCATACAAAAGTGAGGCTATAGCGGTCGTCAGATGTTGAAGAAATCCACTCTATTTGAGCCCACTGTTGCTATAGCACAAATGAAGTGTGACGTTGGTAAACATCACCCGATGTAGCCATTAGACACTTCTCCTTTGTGGCAATGATACAATCTCAATGAAGGATCACTTGTTGGTGCAAAGGTAACAAGCCCACGGTGCAAGTTCTCATTAAGTTCGACTTGTGCTATTCATCTCTCCGTCTTCTCCATTCACCCATGACGCTCTGTAAACAGAAAAACAGCTATAGTATGTGCGTAACCCAATGGTAGTGCATACACAAACATTCCAAGCAGTTGATTCATAATCTATCAACTTGAAAAACCCTCGCATTATAACCTTAAAAATCTATTCCCATACGAACTCAAGGCAGAAATATCTCAGTGAGTCAGACATAAATATATCATTTTAAAGAGGGTTGCATTTCAAGTTGAACCACAAGTGAGGAGATATTATATGTCATTCTTGAATTATTGATACATTCCCTGAAAGGACTTGACATGAGATACCAAGTGACACAGGATCATGATTTAAAATAGGAATTGTGGACTTCAAATTTAGACGCAGGATTTAGTTTTTGGAAAACCTCAAAGCATCTTGTTACGGGTTACAAATCATGAAACACAAACAAAGCATCTTGATACAATTGTCTTCTGTGATATTTGGCTGTGAAATGAGTTCTTTCGTGGGTGCATGTTTTAGGAGCTGAACCTTCTTGTTACCTGAGTCTGATGGCCACAAGAGTTCTTTTCATGTATACATTTCTAAGTGCATGTTTAATCTTTCATTAGCCAGCCTGCTGACGCTCTGCACGGAAGCTCAAAATATGGATTTTGTAAATACTGACAAGCTATACCGTTTACAAAATAACCAGTAAGGGTAGAAGATCATGTGACATACCTTTACAATATTTACACATATGTGGTCTCAGTGTCGATTAATACGGCTGTTGTGACATGCCACATGGCTTTAGCTTAATAATTAATTAGAAAATTCAGTTATGAATACATGTGAACATTAGAGGTAATAATAGAGTCAGACATTGTACACCAACCAAACTCACTACATGAACCTCTGAAAGCACTCAAGAGCAGCTGAAATATTTAAATTTAAAAGGTTGAGAAATCAAATTCAAAGTGAGTGAGTGAGTTTAGTTTTACGCCACACTCAGCAATATTACAGCTTTATGGCGGCGGTCTGTAAATAATCGAGTCTAGACCAGACAATCCAGTGATCAACAGCATGAGCATCGATCTGCGCAATTGTGAACCGATGACATGTGTCAACCAAGTCAGCGAGCCTGACCACCGATCCCGTAAATCGCCTCTTGTGACAAGCATAGTCGCCTTTTGTGGCAAGCATGGGTTGCTGAGGACCTATTCTTCACGGGTCCAAATTCAAAGAAATGTGCGTCACACATTGTACATATGTGGGGAATCGAACCCAAGTCTTCAGCATGACGAGCGAACGCTTAACCACAAGGCCAACCCACCAGCCCAATACCAAAAGAAAACTTTCAAAACCAAAAGTTAATAATAACGATGTGAGTAATTACTCAATGGCTGTAGTTATCTGATGGTCTGATAAACACCTGATGTTGAGGAAATAGGCAGTTATACAACACAGCAATGCATACATACTGAGGTAAGGCCACTCTTTACACTGGACAGTTTCATACTGCAGGTATTTCCTTATTAGCAGGTAATATGTGACGTCACAATGCAGCTGCTCTCGTACACCTGCTTTTCCATTGTTACACAAATATATGTGCATGAGCTGTCTGCATGCAAAATGAATATCTTTTGACTGTTGAATAACTTGATGGGCTCTGCCCTTTGTTTGCATATGAGGCAGTGCACCTACCGAAGAATTTGTTATGTCTTTTGTCTTTGTCCATATTCCAGCTGTATGATGGCTATCTGATAAGTATGTTAGCAATCAAGACCAGACTATCCAGTGACTGGTATCATCAGCATCGATCTATGTATATATCGTATGTGACGTCACAACGCAGCTGCTCAAATGCATTTACATCCCTCTATAGTTTATACACAGGTGGAATAGCAAAGTGGTTAAAGCGTCAGCTCGTTCTGCTGAAGACTCGGGTTTGATTCCCCACATGGGTACAATGTGTGAAGCCCATTTCTGGTGTCCCCCTGCGTGATATTGCTGGAATATTGCTAAAAGCGTCATAAAACCATACTCACTCACTCACTGATACACAGACAGTTTCCTACACAAGCATTTGTATGTAAATCTCATAAACTCTCAAAAATAGAACATTCTTTCAAAAGTTGCAATTGTTTAAGCAGCGACACACATCAATGGCAGCTTCCACTGTCTGCCCTACCCACTGTCCCATAAAGCACATGTGCTTCAGCTTGAAAGACATACCTCTGATTTGTGTGCTTGGACTGAATGTTAAATGTGTTGCTGAACCTCATCAAACCATCATAAACTACAATAAAGAGTTGATGACAGTCTGACATTCCTTTTTTTCAAAAGAATAAGAAATAGGACTTCTCTCATAAATGTGGTATATATATATTGGAGACAGGAAAATGGTTAAATTAACTAAAACATGAAATTAATTGCCTCTCTATTAATTCCAGAAATACATCTGTAAATTTCTATCCAACATCCTTTGATGGTATAACATTGCAATCCAAAGAAATAATCAACTTGACCTTTACAGGCAGACGCTAAACAAAGGATAACAAGCACGTCTGAAAACGATAAAATACCTTATCTTCACGAGCAGACGCATTCTCAAATCAAACTGAAATACTGACGAGGGGCAACCAACCAACTCTGTGAATTTTCGCTAGAAAAGGGAACTCATCGTGCATGGTAACATTTCAGAAATGTTAAAATTGAATTAATTATGTTTTATTCAATAAAGAGATCCTTTAATTCCTCTGTTTGCATAAACTCCACCAAGCCAGACTCACGGTCTAGGGTCTATTCACTAGGCGAGGCTGTCAACACCAGGCACTCCCAATAACGTCCACAAAGACCACAAGCTCCTCATCCTGTCCCTACAGTCATTTCATTACATCCACAAGTCTTCATTTGACCTCATAAGTCCTGTCCCGACCTTTGTGGTTACAAGAACTCCCAAAGGTCAAGGCTGACAAGATAAAGTGTTATGGTAACCACAGGTTGAATACTTGTGTTGAAGTTCAGGCAACAGAAATGGCAGGAACTTGTTCATCAGACCTGTTTACAAAGCTCCGTAAATCCCTGACTGACTCCAACAATGGTCAAGTTACCATTTACATTTTAGTTCCTTTGTTGACTCTATCTTAACTCGGCTGTCTCGAAGGAAATAGGTTTTTCTTGAAAACTAAAGTACAAATAAAGCTGCCAATTTCAGTCGCATTATCAGCAATTTACATGTTAATTCAACTGGCTTCATTGCAGTGGTGAGTCCAATCAGAAGCTGCTGAAGTTGTCTGTAGAAACTGTTAGATCAAGCAAATGTCATAAGAATTTCGATTACAGGTTCTAAAAGGGTCCCCACCACATCCAAATCCCATCAAATTATAAGTTCCATTTCCTAACCTCTGCATCCTGATATACTTGTGCACAAAACTTAACAGTATATACAATTCCAAAATTAACATGCTACAAAAAAACTAAAGTAAATGTTTCCAGGTAATAAAAGAGTGAGACCTGAAGATTATTTCCTTACAAAATGTCGAAAAAATATCAAAATACCCATTTTCAGCAGTCAGGATATAAACATGTCTGGACCACACAATCCAGTGATTGACATCATGAGTATTGATTTACACAGTTGGGATAACAGCCTCAATAACACAAACATCTAGCCATGATGAACGTCAAGGAACTAAATCCAAACTTTCAGGAAGAGTACTTCTGGGCTTGATAGTCATGATGCATCTTTTCACGATATACTCATTTTGTTATGTCCATAATTCCTCAATTAACGACAAACTTCATTCAGTGACAAGAGTTAACAATTGGCTTTCATCAAGCTCCATGATATCGGTTACTAGACTGGAACAATCGGATATTGGCCATATTGATTTTCTTGATCCATATGCTACGTGGCAGGAAGCAAAATGTCTAAATATTACTTTCCTTAAAACAACTTTTGCCATAAAAGTAATGTCAAAATTGCAAATAAGATTATAAAGGATATTATCAATCAATGAGATTTTGGTGCATTTACTGTTGGAAATTAACAATTTAGGTAAGTCTTTGTCGTAAAATGGATGAAAAACTGGAATGGTTCTTTCAAAGAATTTTCCTTTTGACCATATAGTCTCTGTATGGTGTTCCATGATTTAACCCCTGCTATGTTTGAGTGAATGAGTGAGTGGGCCCTTTAGTTGTCACCAATATTCCATAAATATGAGAACTGCCTGTGATAAAAGTAAGACACACAACTGCCAGGCAGCATCAGTAACAATCTACACTTCATTGAGACAATGACACACGATCAAACTAGTAAACCATTCCAACTACGCAAACAAGGATGGAAGGCAACTCACAAAGAACATTCACCAGATATTGTTAATGTACAAGAATACCTCCCAAATGGCAGTTATCATGGGCAGAGGGGTATTTTCAACCTTGAGAACAATTCTCAAGATCAGAACTGGGGACCTGTTCTACCCTAGAAAACCCTGGGGTGAAAGAGGCATGGAAGAGTAAGGGACCTATTTGGGCCCACCCCCTACAGGGCGACAAGCATGGCGAACTGGGGACTTACTTGTCCCTAGAATACCCACGGTGAAAGAGGCATGGGACAGTAGGGATCAATTTGTCCCCAGAAACCCTACAGGGAAACAAGCATGTGGATCTGGAGCCCTATTTTTCCCTACAATACCCACAGTGAAAGACGCAAGGGCCAGTAGGGGCCTATTGGGGCCTAGAATCCCTACAGGGAAACTAGCATGTGGATCTGGAGCCCTATTTTTCCCTACAATACCCATGCTGAAAGACGCAAGGGCCAGTAGGGGCCTATTGGGGCCTAGAATCCCTACAGGAAAACTAGCATGTGGATCTGGAGCCCTATTTTCCCCTACAATACCCATGCTGAAAGACGCAAGGGCCAGTAGGGGCCTATTGGGGCCTAGAATCCCTACAGGGAAACTAGCATGTGGACCTGGAGCCCTATTTTCCCCTACAATACCCATGCTGAAAGACGCAAGGGCCAGTAGGGGCCTATTGGGGCCTAGAATCCCTACAGGGAAA